CTCTCTCTCTCTCTCTCTCTCTCTCTCTCTGATTGCGAGAACAGCCGGCCGCGAGGAAGCCTTGCGCGGGCGTTTGTGAAGCGTTTTTGCGAGCGCGCAACTCGCTGCCCGGCGAGGAGAATTTTCTAAGTTTCTAAGGTGGATCTTCTTATTTCGAAAACCGGCCACGTGCGTGCGTGCGTTGCGCGTCTTTAAGGTTTTTGCCGGTTCTTCTGTGCGATCCCGATGCAGAGCTCGTGGTACTAGCTCGTTCCGATTTCGTAGAGTTGCCGTAACGAACGGAACGAGCAAAACACAATGACAATTAAATATAAAAAAAAAAAAAAAAACAACAAAGATTTTGCAACTTTATTTCTAAAATAAGGTAGCGTATCCAATTTTATTCTCTGTTCGTGTAAAATTTAATGAACCTAAAGAAGATGAAAGTTTTTACATGGATTAGTTTTCTGATACAAAATATTGTAACATATCAAATGTATTTTACATACTTAAACCTTAATTTAGATTTAATAAGATTCTAATGAATTATATCGCGAAAATTCTATTTTATGTCCGTTTTATCTGCAGACATTTATTCGAAAAAAAGCATACGATCCGAAAGAGATTTCCTCATAGCTAACGATTACATGTTGATTCGATCGCGATTTAGCTACTCGAGCGAATCAAGGAGATTCTACCGGGAACGTGTCCGCGATAACGTTAGAGCAAAAAGGACGAAGCGTGGATAATCGTCCGTCGAGAATTTATGCCGATAACGTAATGTCGGAAATTTCGCGTCGTTAATGAAATTACAATTTTTCGCGGAAACGCGCCTCCCAACCCGCCGATTAAATCGCTGCCGATGGAGTCGCGGAGAAAAAGAGAGACGCGCAACCTGCGCGAAACGTGCGTTCCACGTTCGATCGGTCGGGAAAGAAATCGCGGTCGACGAAGGAAGTATCGCGAGGGCTGTTCCCCGATTAACTTATTTTAAGAGGCCGCTTGTCGCGGCCCGCGATCGTACGTATGTGCCCGTACGAGATTATTGCACGTAATTCATGGGCTCCTTCATTCGTAAAAAGGCCAAATCGCGCGGGATAATGATGTTTACACCGTTGCCGTTGTACGGTCGATCGTGGAAAGTCGCGAAATCGCGATTAGTGCCTGGTATTCGCAGCTCGAAATAGCGTTGCTCCTCTAATACGCTCGCGCTTTATCGCCGATGCTTTCGCCCCGCTATCAGTCAATTAGGGATAATTATTCGCTGCGAACGGCCAGACGCGAACTCGCACTCGTGTATGACGCGGCAATCCTCGGTAACGTAATGCAATTGATCGATGCAATTGCCTAATGCCGTTTCTTATACGATCAACAGTTCTTTTTAAATAGACTCGTTGACGCACGCATTATTAATGAAAAGATAACGCGGCGTTTTCGAATAGTCAACTTTGTAACGACTTTGCTGCAAATAGCTCGATACGTAAGTGATTATCGCACTCATTTTCTATCCCGATAACCTCGCGCCTATTTAATGAAGCTATTTTAACGTATAGCTGCTTCAGCGATCTCTGGCATCAATGATACTTGGTACTTTCGCGAACGCAGATATATTTTTCAATGTCTTTATCTTGTCGGAAGCTCAAAGAGGCCGCTTGGTACTCTTGTAACGCAGCGCAATTCTTTCAGGCTACTTAGAAGTTTTGCGTTTTGAATATTTTGTAAATATTTCTCAGTATTTTCTAACTTTAGACACTTAAAAAAAAAAAAAAAAACAAATTCCACAAATATCTATGTTTTTGTGCCCACGGAAAATCGCAGTAAACATGATCGAAAGATTATACTATCGGTATCGAAGATGCAATCGAGTTCACGATAAACAAATTTCTCGTTTAAGTCGCAACAAGTGTTTGCGTAATTTTATATGTTTTACGTTTTATTCATTCATGCCATCCAATATTTATACGTAGATAATACCAAGTAGCCGCGGAGTTATTAAGCAGCTCTCAGCGATACTTTATCGAGCTGTGCAACATCGTGCATGCGGTATCGACCGGCGAGAATCTTTTCATTCACGGATAAATGACGTAACGCGCGAGTCGCAATGGTAGGATCTTGCTTTTCGAAAGATACGAAAAGACATGTTCACGTGGATCGCACGTCAGCACATTTCATGGATCGTTTTTTGATAAATAAATTTTTCGTTTAGATCGTGTACTCTGCACGTTTTCGAGATTAACAGTTTATAAAATATGATCGTTAGAAAAAGGATGCAGGCGACCCGGTGAGAGATAAGTGTAATATTTATCTCGAATGCATGATTTTACGAAATATTTTATGATAATGCTAAATTTAATAATTAAAAATATCAGCTTGGCAAGTTCAGCGTATGGGACGCGTATACGATCCACGCTGCACGGAGGCTGTGTTAGGCGAGGAATAAACGGCACATTATCGCCGCTTTGGCACATTTAGTGCGTCAATGTGACTATTGACGAGACTCTATATCTCTCCTATTTGGAATTTTCCAGCACAATTACTTAACGTTTCGTTGCTCCGATGCGTTTATTACTGCGCAGCATTAAATAATCGTATTTGCAGTTGTTTTAGAAAAACATTGCAAAATTAAAGATCGTGTTCCAACCACGCCATCAGTATTTTTCCTACTGGCTACAGAGGGGGGGGGGGGCTAAAAAGTGCGTTTCTCTCCTCAGTTTGTCAGTAGCGTTAAATAATAATAGCGTTAAGATTAGCGTTATTTGTTCCACCCGCAACTGACGTATCGCGAAACTTGATGCTTTCAGATCAGAGGCTAAGGCACTCGAAAGGCAGTTTAGACGTGCTGTACTTCAAATTCTCCGATAAAGTTGTCCAGCACCGCGTTACCAGGGCGGAGTTATCCCTGTGGATCTGGGGCGTGAATCCGGAAGCGGAGCTCGGCGAGCCGATCGATCTGAGCAGCCAGGATGCCGGCCCGGTGACGATCACGTTGCAGAGGATCCTCCGGGGCGCGACCGAGACCGGCGGACCCATGTTGGGTCCATCTCTGACCACGAAGCACCCCCGACCGTACGGACGACGAGGCGGCTGGGTCACGATCGAGCTCAGACGAATGGTAGCGGAGTGGTTCAAACATCCGAGAGACAATCTCGGGGTCGCTCTGAAGATCAGCGGACCTGGCGGCGGTCATCGCAGGAACTCGGCCCGACTGGTCGAGACCAATCCGGGGGCGGAATACGCCCCGTATCTCGAGATACAGATGCAGGAACTTGACTCGCGAAGAGGCTCCAGAATCAAGAGGAACGTGGGACTGAATTGCGACGAGGCCAGCCAGGAGACCAGATGTTGCCGGTACAAGCTCACGGTAGACTTCGAGAAGTTCGGCTGGGATTGGATAATCGCACCCAAGAAGTGAGTGGATTCTTTTTTTACCGCTCTCTTTGTCTCTCCTAAAGATTTCGTGGAAATTTTGTGGGTTTTGACGGAGGGTCACATCCCTTTAAATTTTATTCGTGTAATCTGAAGATCATAGATCTATGAAAAATCTCAAAAAGATCAAAATACGTTTGACAAAACGTATTTTGGCAAGGAGATAACTCTGTCAAAAATAACAATAGAATTCATCTCATAAGCCATGCCGGCGCGATATATTTCGCGTCCGTTTAGTAAAATACTTGAAACGTGTATATACTTCCGCGAGAACATATTGCGGGTCGCAAAATGATTAATGCATCGTCAGTCAAGCACGTACTCATAAAGATTTCTCCAGTGAAGGTAAACATTTTGAACCAAACTTAGGTTTCAATAAAGGAACTGCAACTTTCTTGTGGCACGTAGAACAGTTCTAGCATCAACAACGCTCAACTATTATTTGCGCACGTTTGGTTTGAAAATACTTTTTATTGTGCGATAACAGTGCCCGCGTATATGTATTTCAAGTTAATTTGCTACGGTGACATTTAACAATAATATTCTTTGAGGAATACAATACGATATATAATGAAGTTGATTACGTTTATCGATAAAATTTTTACACAAAATTTAAAATACGTCTTGTTGAACGAATGAGAAAATAATTTGGAATATATTTTAGTCCAACAAAAATATCACGTACAACAAACTTGTAATTTACATCTATACACAATCGATATTTCTATTTTTAGAAACAAGAGAGTTTCGGGGTGAATTTCATGAATGTCGATTATTTTAGTTTTTATTTTATTTAGATAATCGATTTTTTTATTCTAGAATTAATATTAAGCTTAAGAGGAAATTAACTTACCGATGAGATTTAATGAAAGAATTTTTATGAAAATTTTATCTCAAATCGCGAATCGAAATTTTTACCTGAAAATAGAAATCGCAATAACGATCGGTCTCCCGGATGTTTGTTGTCGCAGATACGATGCCAATTACTGTTCGGGTGATTGTCCGATGGCTTTCCTTCCGGCCTATCCAAACACGCACATCGTCAGCCTAGCGGAACCACCGAACAACACCGGGCCATGCTGCGCCCCTAGGAAGCTGTCCGAGATCACGATGTTGTATTTTGACAACGAGTACCAGATCGTGTTCTCGCGATTGCCGGGCATGGTCGTCGAGAAATGCGGGTGCTCATAGTCCACCTTCGTTTCCGACGGGACGAAAGCGACGTGGGCGACGCCGAGAGTTCCGCACGGATACCGCGATGCTCTCCCTCTGATCAATCTCGATAATCATCGTCATTATCATCGTCAACCGTCGTCGATTGTCGCCGTCGTATTCTCGGCGATTCCTCATCCGATAGACTGAAAGTGCCTTGTTCGGAGAGTGATCGCGTGATGCGGATCTCTTTGGAGCGCGTGGAGGAAGAAACACAAAGTGTGCACGGGTAGACGATGTGTGGTGATTCACAAGAGTCCCCTCGAAGACTGTGCTGGACGCCAAGGAAATTCAAAGAGAGGGACTAGCGTCGTGTCAGCGGGAGGCATCTCGACGTGGTGGTCCATGGTCCACGGCAAGGCGGATAGTTCCTAGAGTCATGGTATTATTTTTAAGACGCCGATACGTTTGCATCCCGATCCGCGATCCTGATTTACGACCGCGGAAATTTTACGCGGATTCTCCAAAACGCGAATCTCTTATTCCCCGAAGGCAGGAGAGACAATCCGAAGTGTATTTATTTGCGAATTACGCTCGTAATTGTTACGCAAGTGTCATACTTGCGGAATCTCAACACGGTTTCGTTTCCGCAAATAGCGGAAAAACTTTGTTGAAATTCTTATTGCTGCGCTCCGGCTCGCGAGATTAGATAAATTCCGAAAGACACAACGCGGCCTAATTACGTTCATATGAGACATGCGTAATTTCTTTACGTCGTAGGAGTAAGATGCATCGTCACTGAAACAACGATCGTCGACGATCGATGGAAACGTGTTGGCCAACAGATCTCGGTGTACAGTAAAATCGTTGTTTTTTTTTTTCTTAATGGTTTTTTTCCTTCCCACCCCCCCTTCCTCCTCCCTCCCCCTCGTCTTTCTACAATATTATATATAGATACGTTTCTGTCATTATGATCGTTTTTTTAGCGAATTGTGAGAGCGTGCGAGAGAGAGCGTGTCGAATTAATGTAAATAAGTTGTAGCAGGCAAGAATGTGGTGTTGCTTCGCTGACACTCCCACGTCCTGGGAGGATCCGACGAGGATGTTGTGCTCGTGTGTATTGGCGGAGAATCTGGGCCCACCTAGTTTTTCTAACGCGAGCTTACGGCTCTAACTAAGTAAGTTGTAATTACACGGCGCCAATATATCGGGCTAATCGCGCCCGGAACTTTTTTATATCGCGTCTCAATCGGAAATTTCATATTCACGTTCCCGGTCGCGGTCGCGAAACGAGCGTGGGGCGTTTATTTCTAGACGAATAAACATTATTCGCGCGAAGGAATGCGCGACGCGCACCTGACTTTTGTGAGCTTTCTTCGTAACTTACGGTATTAATAGCTGCATTTTAGCGCGTCGAGTGAGTTAGCGCACTCGCTCACATCGAGAAGGGACGGCGACTTTTTTTCTCTCTGGAATCTGTCCCTTCCTATCTCACGCGTTGTACGATCTAAGAAAAAAGAAAAGAGATCTACAAGCGTTTTTTTTTTTTAGACTAAAATTATTCGTCGAGGGGCACCTCGACGAGCGGTCTTATTAGTTTTTATAGACTCATTAAGATCCGTCCCTGATCCTCGGACATAATCTCTATTAATTACCACAATCAGTGCTGCGATTATGTATAGACGTATCCCCGACGCTTGCACGATTCCATGTGTAGCGATTGAAACCAATATAATTTCGATAAATTCAAATTCGTCAATTTCGCGGTCAGTCGAGAGTGAGAAACTGAAACGTAAGTAAGATTTTCCATTAAGGAACCATTTTTTTCCGAGCTTCTAGCATCGAGAATTGAACTTGTCGAGATTTTATCCGGGTTCGATCCCTCGTTATATAGCGATCCTCAAAATTCGGGAACATGCCTGAAAAATTTTCATGCTATCAGAGCTAACACTTAACTCCACATTTTCCCCTCGGCTTCGAGTCAAGTGCACTGTAGCTACATTTTGTAAAATAGTATACGATACACGATGGACTTGCGCGCACCGTCCCTAAACTTTATGTGATTGTAAAGGAAAAAAGACACACACACACACACACACACACACACACACACACACACACACACACACACACACACACACATATATATTTACAGACACATGCACGCGTACACAGCGCGCATACACACATACACATATACATATACACGAGCATACATACATATACACACGAGTTTATAATGAAAACTTTGCGATTTTTATAAAGCGATCATTTAGAACGTAAGAAAAAGCTCCTTGAAAAATCGATTTTTTTTATAATTCATCCCCCCCTCCCTTGCCAAGTTGCCTTCCCATTTTCACCCGATTATTTTTCTCCTTCTTTATATCTATTACATTGTTTCCTTTTTCAATTTGTTTGTCTCAGTGTACCAATAACTAAAAAATAATAGATTTGCTTATCATCCTTCCCCCTTCCTAAGTAGCGAACGAGGACGGCAGAACAATGCATACTTATATGTATAATGTGTACTTCCTAGGTAGGCACACAGTATAGATAGAAAAATATTTATTCCATGAAATAAATGGTTTTTCGATGAGCACGGAATAATATTTTATTTTTCCTCCTTTACCGCTAGATTAGACACGAATAATCTTTTTAATAATGCGATTAATTATGCACAATTATATTCTGAAAAGCCAAATAAGAAATCGACTCTGAAACGGAAAGTCAAATCAGATCATTTTGTTGTAATTTGTAAATTTCTTTTGATCACTTTAATTACTTTAATCGCTATTTTATTATTTCATTCTTCAAATACACGATATATTGGTAAAAAATAAAGTGCATACTACTTTTGTGCGTACATCGTGTACATCAAATTTATTTTTAAAGTCCACTTTGTGATAAATTTAGTAATATCATATACATGTCTGCAATAATCAATCTGTATTTTATTAAATCGTATTCGTAGCGCCTCTCTCTTTCTTTTTAATCAATGCAAGATTCATGGTGACGGCCGATGATAAACTTTGGGGGCAGAAAATGATTATTGTTCTGCGATTTCTTTTCGCCCGCCAATTAAAAATTGTCATGTTTTTGCCGATTTCTCTCTGGTACCCCCAGGGTAAAGAAAAATATTTTTCGCAATACTTGCGCTATTAATCATCATATCGTATTACTTTTCCAAATCGTCAGTGCAAAGTTCCTACCTCCAAATAATCTTGCCGACCCAAAAGAGTTTTGTCAAAACAAATTATAGACGCTTTTTCCCTATCTACATTAGTGGTCGGTTATCGACCCGAAAACAATATACAAATATTCTATATTTTAAATAATTTAGCAAATTTAAAAAACGAACTCTTAATATTAATTTTAAATATTTATCTCGGAAAATTTATAAGATTCATGCAATCATTTAAAAATGACTAGAATTTAAATACCTTTTTTTAAGTAGATTCAAAAAGAGATTTTGAAAATAGAAATTAGTTTATAACAACAAAATTCTTTTTAATATTGTATATAATATATTTTTTCTTTTTTAAATAAAGTTGCATTCTTTGACTTAAAATAATATGTACGCGATTTTGTAGTAGATACATTCTTATTATGTTATTATGTGTGTAAGAAAATAAATTATATAATTTATCATTAATCATTGCATCACTACATATACAACAATGATGATAACTTTTTAGCTATTTTAATAGATTTCTTTTGACGAATAAATTTTACTAAAACTGAAGAATTTATCGAGCATTTTAATACTTTTCTATTATAGATAAAGATAAAAATTGAGAAAGCATTAACAACTGCTTATAATAAAAATATTATTTAAATATTTTATTCAAACAAACATACTTAAAAATTGGTAAGTATGATTATTAATACAATAGAATTTATATGATGTTTTTTTATATTATTCGTGAAAGATATAAATGAAAGATATGTTAAGTAGATAAATTTTTTAAAATCTTTAGTTAAAGTGAATATAAGACATTTATTATCAGTTAACAAAAAAGATAAATATGATAAATAAAAGAATTATAATTAAATATGTTGTGCAGATAAAATTTAAGACATATCGGGAGTGACATGCAGACATAGCATGTCACTTCGTATTGATAATGCAAAAGATTTTGGGTAATTTCACGCCATCTGTGTCATCAACCAGAACGGACCCGTAATTATCATGTCATTAGTGATTAACGATCGTCGAATACATCATTGAAAGTAACACTATAGAATTTGTCATCAATGTGTTCTTATCATTCGTATCAGAATAAAATGTAATTGATAATTTTCAATTTTCTTAACATTTCTGTCAATGCTGATGAATTACAATCGATACAAGTATAAATCACATGTTCTTAATTACCTATTACGTACGACAATTGAATAAAATCAATAACAGAATCATATACTTCTCATGTACATTTTGTTAAATTTCGCTCGATTATCTGTTGCCTATATGCCATTTATTCATATTATTATTTTTGTAAAATGGTTTACATGTAGTATTTATGTTTTATTTACATGTTATTTATTCTTGTTTATCCGCTATATTTTTTTTTCACGAAATGTTTTGTATACAACATTATTTTACGCCGCGTTGCAATAACATTGCGCGTTTTAAAAACATGTTTACCAAAATATATTAACAGATATATTTATCGATATCTTACAATGCAATCAGGACGAATAAAATTTGTTTTATATATAGAATTCCTTTTTATTCAGTTCATTCTTATAGGTCATTATAACTGTGTCATGGCCTTTATGTCGATTGCGATAACCGAAACAATAGTAACGTGGAACTGAAGGAAGGGTTATCTTATTTGTCGCTAGCCGGGTCGAAAGGGTGCCAAGGAAAAATTTATTTAAGTGATCGGCGCTGCCGTATCAATGGGAAAATGCACTTTGTCAAGAATGTAAGTGATAGTATTAAACGATATATATATATATATCTCATAATATATTTACGAAACGTAAACTTCTGTAATGAGTACACTTGAAGTTCAATTGTTTCAAATTAAAATTGTCTATCTTTTACGAAAAAAATTACACGTTCTAATATTCGCGTTGTTAATTAAAAAAAATTCGGGAGATACATTAATAATTAAACGTAATTAATCAAAATTTATATATATATATTTAAAGTATATTTTTTTGGTAATATGCATTATTAAATATGGAGCAATTTACCAAAGAGTAATGTAAAAATAACGTGATAAGGTCTTGAAAGTTGTAAATTAAAATCATCATGTTATCGTTATGTTTAAAAAATTTATTCGCATATTTGTCGTTATTTTAAGCATTTTCGGCGATGCGGTATGTCAGTGACATACTCCAAGCTACGCTGCTTGGAAACGTGCGAGACGATAATTTGCGCACATAATGTCATAGTCAGATGCACGTCCTGGCAAGTCGGCCAGTTGAATTGACGGCAGTCAACTGTTTCGCCAGACGTGCCAATTCTCGTTTTATTGTTTTTCTTCGGCGCCGCCTCGAGCAATCGTCCTTGCCGACGGTCGGGTTAGTGCTCCCCTTTCGCCGAAACA